ACATAAAAAATTGTTATTTATCTCTATTTATAAACAAAATGGGAAATGAAATCAAGAAAAAACTTTTTCTCAAAATCCCCTCTTAGACTTAGTGGAATATTTAGCAACAATAAAGGTTAGGTGAATTAGCACGTTTGGAATAAATTATTGGAACATTGAAGCTCACAATGTGTCGCTTTGACACTACTAGAAAAATGATTAATAGTGACCGAAATTAGTAACTCGAAAAATGCAATCATCGATAGTAACTCGAATCGATTCATCGATTTCAGTTTTATATTTAGTGACTAAAATTTCAATCACTGAAATCAATCACTGATTCGGTCACTACTAGAAAAATGGTTAATAGTGATCGAAATTAGTGATCGAAAAATTCAGTTACTAATAGTAACTCGAATCAGTGACTGATTTCTCTTTTTATATATAATGACTGATTTAGTGATTAAAATTTCAGTCACTAAACAAATAATATATAAATTAGTGACCATTTTTTATTTATATAAATATTTTTTTAAAATATTTTAATAATATATTAAATATAAATCTACTTAATAATTTAAAATAATTGATAAAATTTTTAATAACATTATAAAAATTTTAAAAAATAGTTTATTAACTTATTAAATAATTTAGCAATATAATTATTTGATTTTATTTTTTAATTTAGTATGTGAATAAAAAAATTAAAATTAATTATTAAATTAGTCACCGATTCGATCATTAAAATAATTATTAATTTAATCTCTTTTATATATATAATCAATGATTAAATTAATTATTAATTTAGTCTCTTTTTGTATATATATATATATATATATATATATATATATATATATTACTTTTATGTTAATAAAAATGTATTTCAATGTATTTATAAAAAAATTAAAATTATTTTAATTATTGAATTGATATTTCAAATATATATTAATATTTTAAATAATTTAATAATTGGATAAATATTTTAAGTTTATATTAGTATTTTTATAAAAGTGTAAAGATTAAGTGAACTTATTTTAAAATTTAATTAAACATAATAATATAATATAGTATTAACCATAAATCTGTGAAGATTTAGTTAGAAATTAATTTTAAGTTTTATCGTTTTTATTTAAAAAAATTGTTAAAAAAATCAAAATAATTAATTAAAATAAAGAATTTTAATTTAATAAATGTGTTAATATTATTTGTTATTGGAGAATTAAATTTATAATAATAATTATATAAAATTATATAATTAATAAAATTTAAATTATTGGTATTTTTTAATCATGAAGCTAAAATTTGATAATATTAATAAATTAAAATTAAAAAAATAAAAAAATTTATATATATATATATATATATATATCACTTTAATTATTTTAATTAAAAATAATTTCATAAAAAACTAATATTTGAAAATAAAAATGCAAAAGTATATATTTTTTCTTTTATTTAATTATATTTTTTACTTTTTACTTTTTGGGTTTTAGTCCATAACAACAATTTAGTTGCCCTAATTTTAGTTTAACCTAAAAATCTCATCATCTTACCACAAAAATATATAATTTCTCTTATTAACAAATTTTTTTATCAGATTAAGAAAATTATTACTAATAAGATTCAAAACGAGTACCTTAGAGTTAGATACTAATACTTCAACCACTAAACTGTTAGAATTTTTTAATAAAAATTGACAAATAAATTATATTTATATACAAATAAATGTATATCCGTGTAAATATATAAATATAAAATATATAAATACAAATATATTTATATATTTTGATATATTTATATGTTCGATGCGAGGATCACGCTAGAAGGTGAAAGTGTGTGTCAAGTGAGTTTTCAAAATTTGATGTCAAATTTGTGAACGAGTCTCTTTATATGGATTTGTAATTTAATGATAGAATATAATCTTTATAATTTATTTATATAATGATATAAAATAATTTTTTCTTTATTTATTTTTATTTTATTTTAATTTATTCTTTTTATCTTTTTTCTTCTATTATTTAATTAAAATTCTTATATTAAAATATTTTTTTCATTATTAAAAATAATTAAATATTTATTTTCAAAATTATTTTTTAAAATTATTTAATTATTGGGTTCGAATCCTGCTAGTGACAATTCTTTCATTCTAATCATAATTCAAATTTCTAAAAAATGTAATAAATAATAAAAATATTTCGGTCACTATTTGATGTTTTTGTTGTCATGTGAATGTGAGTAAGCTAACACATATAAAAAGGGGTGAGAGTTGATACACAGGTTACTCCATCCGCATACATGAACACATTATGCATATGATAAGCTTTATAATGTATTTTAGTTTGTTGATTGAAGATCTAAGAAGGTGCATATAAATTCCTTCACTCTTAACTTTATTTTGTGTATGTATTGTTAATCATCTCATTAATTTCTTATTTTCAATTAAAGAAAGAATTTGATACTATATTTTTCACTATACCATTGTTTAAAATTGGAAAAAGTTATATAAAATTGGAAAAAAATTGTTTATACAAATAATTTTGACCAATTTTTAAGCAACTATATGAGATTCATACTAAAGTATTTATTTTTATTCCTAAGGGCGTCTCCAATGTTGATTTTAAGCTATTGGAAGTTTTCTTATTAAATTTTTAAAAACTCATTCTCTCTCCTTACTTGTTTTGATTTATATACTTTTGTAAATTCCTTGAAGAAACAACTTCGGACAAAATTTAAGCAATTTATCATGACACATATATTTCTCCAATAGAAAATTATTTCAAATAACTAATATTTTATTTAAGCATATCAATAGCAACTCACGTTAGTGATGTTCTAAGCAATTTTGGAGATGTCCAACATCTCTAATGAGAGTTATTTATTAAGATACTTAAATAAAGTATTAGTTATTAAAAAAACTTCTCATTAAAGAAATCCTATGTAGCATGATAAATTACTTAAATATCTCTGGTAGTTGCTTCTTCATCAAGCAATAAGGAGAGAGAATAAAAAATTTATTAAAAAAATTCTAATGAGTAAAATCAATATTGAGTTGCTTAAAAACCAGTACTTTGAAAAATGGACATGCCAGTTAACCGGTCTAGAAATCAACATATTACTTTCAAATAACTGATTTTTAATTAAATCAAAACAAAATCGATAAAACTGAAAACTGGGGCTTTGGGTTGAACCAATTTTGGTAAAAAAAAGTAATCATTTAATATAATTATTTTTATAAAAGATATAATATATTTTAGTTTTTCTTTTTTTATCTCATATTAGTTATACAAATTTTAAACAATAATTGTTTTAATATATTTATATTTTATTTTAATAATTATTATTTTCTAATGTATTTTATATTTTAAATCTTAATTGTAATTTAGTATGATCATGATAGTAATATTTACTATTTTTCTTTCTTTTATAAAAAATATTATTATTAACGAACTTATTATATATTTTTCATATTATAAAATTATTATTTTATTAAATCTGGTTCATCGGTTCAGTGACGGGTCTAATTTTAAAAAAATTATTAAAAATAATGTTTCATCACAAATCCTTATTTTATATATTTTTAAGATAAAAAATAACTCATATGATTTACTTCTATTGAAGATGCCCTGAATTGCTTGATCAACTAACTATTAACAAAATTTAATCAACTCTCGTTAATAATAGTTTGATTATGATTAGACATAAATAAAGTACAATAATAAATTTCATAACATTTCCCATTAAAAATTTCTAGAATACCTACTTTAATAAACAAAAAAATTTATATCATTGTTAGAAAAGTTTGCAACAAATTTGATTAAAAGAATATTCTCGATCTTGATTCTTACATAATTCAATAACCTATATCAAATACTTTTTTTAAACACCTTGATCATAAATATATACTTCAAAAATATCTCTAGTATATATCACCATGTTTGAACACCCAGTTTATTATTTAGCACATCTGAATTAATATGTCATTCGTTTTATTGGAATTTTATATAAACAAAATTTAATAAATAAAATCAAAATACTAAATAAATTAAAACTATAACTTTTTCAAGAAAGTCATAAGTTTTTATAAACTGTGTTTTATTGGACTAATATATTAATCTATCTTGTTTTAATTTTATCAGATTTTATTCTAAAATTGGGCCTTTTATTTTAAAAAGAAAAAATAATATCACACTCATTTCAATTTAATTTTATCATATTTTATTTTGACAAATTGGGCCTTTTTATTTTAATTTATGTAACTCACATTCTTTCTAGACAATTTTTTATTTTTCTTTTTTCTTAATCTTCTTGTTTTAATTCATTTGTTTTTCTCATTAGGTTTTTGGTTTCAATCTTTTTGTATTTGTATATTTTTACACGTGTGCCATCTTCTCACCCATTGTGCCACAATAATTCAAACACAATGAACTCATACTGTATAGTGTAGTTCCTGAAAACTTCACCAATATTTCAGTCATTCTTCCAATTACTGTTGATGAGAGCTGAGTTGCTCCTCTTTTTAAACAAAATTTCTGACCCTGTAAAACAATTTAGGTCTATAGATACTTTTGAAATAGAAAAATAGGAGGCTTAAAAAAAAAAAACATAGATAAAGAAATGAAATATAACTGTGAAGAAGTTAGAATATGAAAATAAAAAGCTTGTAGGTATTAACTTGTGGCAACGGCGTTTGCTTTCCTCCATTCCTAGGTTTTCCTTTCTTTTTATATTCATTTATATTAGAATTTTTTACATGCTAAAGTTGGGCTTCACAGTAAAACTTCCTCACGGGTCCATTTTGTTGTTCTAACAATTTAATATTCTGGAAATATTTTAATGAAACCTGTTGGATTCAATTCCGCATGTGGTTTCTTAAACTGACATTTTAACCTTTATACATGATTAAGAAGTTATATGTCCGTTTATATTTGTTCTATAAGTTATTTATTTTAAAAAAATTAACCATTTTTAATAAGAAGAATAATAAAATAGGCTATATATGTTTATATAAACTATTCATGTAGAATCAAGAACCCCACAAAACCGGATACCATATCTTAATTCTCAATCTGTCGTTGCTGCTATTTTGTCGAGAGCTAACCCGCTTCACTCGGGCGCACGTAGCCGATATATTTACAGAAGATACTCAAACACTCATGTGAGTGAAGATCAAGATTTAAGGGATAAGTAAAGACTAGAAACCATACCTTGGAGTTCCCATTTATTTATTATGACTTGATGAGTCTTATCTCGATAAGTCTCAATCCCTAGGCTTTTCTGCTTTTAGTTGTGTGTCTACAATGCGTCACCTCAGTGCATAGTTACAGTGTAGTGATTGGATCCATACATACAGTATGACATGGTATGATCCGTATGCTCTTAGTATACTCACAGTACATGACCCCAAGTTTGAGGGAGCTTCTTGCAATGAAAGAGTTCGAAGTTTTAAAAAGAAAATTTTCATTATCTTTAGTTGTCATACTTTTGACTCCTCCTACCTATTTGCTTCGAGGCTGGAGGAATAAAAATGACAAAGAGTCTAATGAGAGAAAACCTTACAAGTTGTCAACCTTATCGAAGGTGCCCCTTTTGGTGGAAAATCCTTTGATGTGATGTTTGGTATTTGTGCCACAAATTTCAGTCGGGGGATTGGTAAGATCATATGAGTACACGTGTAGCTTATAAGTATGTGGTGGTCTTTTTGGGATCACACATTTTCTCTAGCTTTGAATACTAAGTGTACTTAAAGCACACGTTTTATAGTGTCATTTTTCGAAAGTGCTCGCATTGTTATGTGAATTACTATGTAGGGGATGTCTTCGATATGTTCTTCAACGATTGAAGAGCTTCCCGGTGGGTTTTTTGGATGGGACGAGAGGTTGTCGCTTGATGTAGTAGGGATAGTGTGGATACAACTTGTTCTGTGTTGTTGGCCTTTAGTCGAGGGCAATGAGAGTACAGGGAGAGGCACCGATTCTTGCGGTAATGATGGTGACAGTGCTCAACTTGGTGGATATGCTTGAGTGGATCCATGTATGAAGAGTTATTTTAGCTTCTTTTCCCGTGAGCCAACCATGAAGGTAACAACGATGAGGACATTTGTTAGTGAGAAATTGATAAAGGGATCGACAAACAAATGGGAGCAAAAAATCGAAAACCATTTTGATTGAGTTAAAGACCGATAACACTACAAGAAAATCGCGTATTACCGACGGATATTTACCGACGGATTTGTATCCATCGGTAAATAATTATTACCGACGGAAATTACCGACGGAAATTACCGACGGATATAAAATATTTGTGGAATTTGATCTTACCGACGGATATATCCGTCGGTAAAATAATAATTAGTTACCGACGGATATATCCGTCGATAAATCCGTCGGTAAATGACAGATGAATTTACCGGCGGATATATCCGTCGGTAAATCCTTCGATAAATTAATAATTAATTACCGACGGATATATCCGTCGGTAAATTCATTTGTAAATTACCGACCGGATATTTCCGTCGGTAAATTATCAATTAGTAAATATTCAACTAATTAAAAAATTAAATATTTTTTATTTAATAATTTCATTTAATCATAATTAGATTCATTTATAATAATTTCTTAAATTAAATAATTTTAAAAAATAAATATTTAATTATATATAAATATATATATATATATATAATATATAAATATATATAAATATATAAATATATATAAATATATAAAATATAAAATATATATATATATATAAATATATAAATATATAAATATATATAAATATATATAAATATATAAAATATAAATATATAAATATATATAAGTATATAAATATATATAAATATATAAATATATATAAATATATATAAATATATAAAATATAAATATATAAATATATAAATATATAAATATATATATAATATAAATATATATAAATATATAAATATATAAATATATAAATATATAAATATATAAATATATAAATATATAAATATATAAATATATTTGTATATAAATATATAAATATATAAATATATTTGTATATAAATATATAAATATATAAATATATAAATATATAAATATATAAATATATAAATATATAAATATATAAATATATAAATATATTTGTATATAAATATATAAATATATTTGTATATAAATATATTTGTATATAAATATATTTGTATATAAATATATTTGTATATAAATATAATTTATTTGTAAATTATTATCGAAAAATTTTGGTAGCTTAGTGGTTGGAGTATCGACCTCCGGGTTCGAATCCTGCCAATAACAATTCTCTTAATATGTTAATAATTGAAGCCTATAAAAATATAATAATGAAAAATAATTAATAATAAATAATAAAAATATAAAGGGAAGGGGTATTCTATAAAATAAATAATCTATATATATAAAATATTTAATAAATAATAAAAACATTACCAACGAATTCCTGTCCGTCGGTAATCTCGTCAAACATTTAGCGACAGATATATCCGTCGGTAATTACCAACGGACTATTAAATCCGTCGGTAATATTTACCGACAACCAAATTTCTGACGGATTTTGGCCGTCAAAAATCCGTCGGTAAATGGATATTACCGACGAATTTTTGTTATTACCGACGGATTTTGACCGTCGGTAATATCAAAATTTCTTGTAGTGTAAATCGAAAGATGGTTGGAAAATACGTTCGACGACTGTGTGATAATATGATCGAGAATTAGAATCGAGAAATCAAAGGAAGAATGTTTAATATCCGTTAGTGAATGAAATCGAGAAATCAGAATTATGTAATGTTAAGGATAAGGGAAAGCAAAGGCAAGTCAAAGTTCTCGAGATCAAGAGATCAAAATCAAGAGGAAGGCTAACCTGCGTGGATATCGAAATCCCGACTAGGTCATAAAGAGAGGAACAGTTAAACACACATATAGGAAACAGTTTCTAAACCGTGGCAGAGGTCGAAGATCATAGGAACGTGGGTGCAGTTTTAATACCGAAGAAGAAACTGCAACGTGCACGTAAGACGTGGTAGCAGTTTTCGTTAACTACTCCTAAGAGGTTACTTGCTGAAAGGATGCCCTATAAATAGAGTGGAGGATGAAGGAGAGGGGGGTAGAAATTGGCAGAGAGAGCTAGGAATACTAGTGAGAAGTCTACTGGAGAACGACGAACATCATGAAGTTTCTGGCGATCTGGATTTCCATGTTCATTGATTTCCTTTACCGCTTTCTTTATTTTCCCTGGTAATTTACTTTGATGCAGTTTATGTTTAGCAACTTTAAGTTTCTGTATTTTCGATTCCTTGTCATTTCCCTTTAATGAAAGTTAAGTTTCTGCTTTTAAATTCCTTGTCATTTATATTAACACAATTTCGATTTCCTGCTATTTACATTTCCGAGATTTCGATTACTTGTCATTTACCGTTTGTGCAATTTCGATTTCCTATTATTCTTTTTCTTGCAATTTCGATTTCCTGCTGTCCATTTTTCTGCAAAGTTAGATTTTTTATTTTACAATCCTGCAATTTTCGATTCCTTGCCATTTACATTTAATACAATTTTAAGGTTTCTGCACTTTACATTTTCTGCAATTTAATATTTCTTCGCAGTTTTACATTAGGCACTGCTTTTCGATTTGTCACTTTACTGTTTTCCTTATTTCGAGTACTTCAAATACAAAATACCAAAAATAGTGCTTTCGATTATTAATCTTAGTATTTTCTATACAGTGGTACTTTCGATTCTCATACGCATTTCGATTGAAATTCAGTTGCTAGCCTAAGTATAAAGAATCTATGTGGTTGAGTTTTGGTTAGAATCAAAGCCTCTTAAGAATCGAAATTAATCAAAATTCCACCAGAAACAAATTGGCGCGCCAGGTAGGGGACATTTGTGTTGAAAAACATAAAATTGGTTAGTTCGAAAGTGTATGAGATTAAGGAGTGGGCGAGTTATAAGAATGAGTCAAAACCCACCAAATAACCGGAGTAACGGTGAGGGTCTAAATGGTTCACATCCACCAAACACTGGGGGCAAGGTGTTAATGGAAATATGCACGTAATATCGACGGTCGTGAGTATGTCGATACATGTGGGTAATGAACAAAGTTCGGGCACATTAGCAAACACTCAAGTAGGATCTAGTACTGTGATGGGGAACCCCATAACAACATATGCGAGGTCGTATATGAGCGTACGACCACCTGGTTTTTCACCTAATAATATGAATGAGGTCTGGTACCTCTTCGATACAACGAAACTCGAGATTTAACCTAGGAATGCCTCGGAACTTAGGTACCTTTCAAACTCTAGGTATGCCGCAAAATTTTGGAGTCTCTCCAAATTTAGGGGCGTCTCAAAATTTAGTAACCCCCGGAATTCGGGGAGTGGGCAGAATTTAGGTACACAACGAGATACCTCCAAATCTAGATCACAGAGAAAATCTGGATCATGGGAGAAACGCATTCGATAGAGATTATCATCGATCCAATTTTGAGACTATTGAAAACACTAATACTTGGGATCTCCGGTAACTCATTAGGAGTATTTAGACAACAAATGGATGAGAGCAATTTTGAGATGGTGAATATGTTATCACAACGAGTTGACTACGAGTCCTCGATCCATTAGTTCAAAACACTACTTGCTAGTTTTGAGATATTAGCGAGACCAAATGTCACGTATCGGGGATGCATTGGCTATACCTCGACAAACAAGAGTGGAAAATCATGCCAATCGAACATTAATCAAAATGCTAATATCAATCCCCCGTATCTGTTGAGGAGAAATCGAAACAATGATCAACATCAGCATATGGGAAATGAATATCAACATGTGAGGAATGATATTTATGGGAATCTGAATGAGGGATTTCAAAATATGTACAATCAAAATAATATACAGTATAATCACATGTTAGGACAAAGGATGAATTCCCAAGGAATGGAGTTAAGACCACCCAATCAAACGTACTTTGTTTCTCCTTTTCCAAATGTTATTCTCGAGACAGAATTACCTCGAGGATACAAAGTACCTAAATTCACCAAATTTGCTGGAGAAATTGGTGAATCCACTATCGAGCACGTGGCTCGATATCAGATCGAATGTGGGGATTTAGCGATGAGTGAAGAATTAAAAATGAAATATTTCCCTAGTTCATTGACTAAAAATGCTTTCACTTGGTTTACTTCGTTGCCACCCAATTCGATATATAATTGGTTGCAACTGGAAAGAAATTTTCATGAGCAATTCTTTAGAGGAGAGACTCAAGTAAGTCTCATCGATTTAATGAACATAAAGAGATACAATCATGAAAGCATAGATGATTATTTGAATAGATTTAGACAAATGAAGTCGAGATGTTTTACTCAAATTCTCGAATATGAATTAGTCAGAATGGCCTCTGCGAGTTTAGAATTCTCGATTAGGAAAAAGTTAGTTAATTTACCGTTGAATGACATGGCTCAATTAGGCGATAAAGTGAGAAGAGTAGAACAAATTGAATATGAAAAACAAAGGTATAAGAAATTTGAGAAACCCATGAAAAAAGAAAGAGTAGCATATATAAATGATGTGTATGAGACAGATCCAGAGACGAAATTGAGATTGAAGAAGTCTGTCGATGAGAAAGTAAATATAGCGAGCTCAAAGTAGGAGCTCCATACATTTGTAAATTACTACAGAAAAATGAAGTAAAAGACAAGATGGCAAATCGAACGTATACTTTCGATGTAACAAAAGCCGATAAAATTTTCGATATTTTATTGAAAGATAAGCAGATTAAGTTGAGTGATGACCATAAATTGTCATCTGCAGAACAAAGGAATGGTCGAAAATACTGCAAATTCCATAATATTTATGGACATTGGACTAATAATTGTATACATTTCAGGAACACGATCCAAGATGCGATTGATCAAGGAAGACTGAAGTTTGGAGAAATGTCTATGAAAGTGGACACTAGTCCATTTGAAGCTCAAGTAGGCTTTATCGAATCCCACACGGGCATGACCGAAGATGTCC